TTGACGTGTCTGCTTAGCGTCCCACATCTACTAGAGAGCTTGACGTCCCTCAGACGGTCCCGCGACGTACCAATGTGGACAGAGCCGTTGATGTTGTTAGCTTGGACGCTCTTGTATGCGTTGCCAAACGCTATACTAGATGTCGTAGAGGCCATGGCATCGCTGTAGAGGAGCATGCACTATAGGTAGTGTACCTAAGGTAACAACTAGAGTCTGCGGTAATGGTCTGCGGCACAGCACGTCCTTGGCCTCAGCCTGGCGGCTATGCAGCCTTCAGCCTGACGACTTCGAGCAGTCGCTTGTGGGGTCCAAGGCTGGAGCGAAGCACACGCATGCGCTTAGTTGCTTATCTATTTGCTCCACCAGCCTCGCTCTGGCTCTTGTAGCGTCAATTGCACCGCAATTCTTAACTGATGGTGCGGCACAGCTGCCCCTACGCATAAGGCTGAGCCGTCGAGGCTGAGGATCAGCTAAACCATCATAGCGAACTAGCGCGGTCATCAGCGTATAACATACTAACATGAATACTAACTTATACACCTATCGCAAAATTATCTTTCTACAATATAATTTATTTTATACTACTTATTGTCTAATAATGTTACATTAATGTATCAATACATTGTCGCCACTGGTGCCCTCCATGGCGCAGGCTCCTGGACCCTACGTTTTTTCGATGGTCTTTCCCTCAGCCTTGACGGGCCCGCTTCTGTCTCTAGAGATATCACTTCTTCTTCTTCTTTTCTAGGTGTCTTGCGCTTTCGACCATGCTTTCTTTTGCCCTTCCCCCTAGCTGCCATCTCTTTAGTAGCGCGTTCCGCTCGTGCCCTTTCGAGGTCCTCCCAGCGCATCACCTTGCCCTCTCCCTTTCCATCCTGGAGAACTAACGAGCGGGTCGTTCGGCGGACCTTGGCCTCGTTGTTGACGTTATACAGAAGGCGATTGTGGTCCTGTAGGAGGCTCTGTTTGGCAACGGATATCTTGGCGGCACTCGCAAGCTTCTGCACACGCCTCTCTAAGCGTTGCCTGCTCGCCTCGTCAGACGCATAAACATCACGCTTGATTAGGTCGTGCAACATTGTAAATCCCTCTGCCGTCACCGGTGTCACAGGAGTGGTGGGATCCAGCAGTGAGCCGCTCTGGGAGGAGGATCCCACCTCACCAGCGGTCAAGACGACGAGGTCTACAGGCGGCTTTGGTGTGTTACGAAGCACTCTCTCTGGGTTAAAAGGAAATAAGCCTGTAGCAGCCCATCCAGCAAGGATATTCCTCTTAGTTAATGCCCTCTCTCTCGCTGGCGCATACAAGTAGGTAAAATGCTCCTTGCCGATTGTATTAATGCCGCCACGGTTCAGTCGCTCAACCTGATCACGATAGGCTGTCTTCAGGGGTGCAAAGACGGAGACATCACAAGGCTGTAGTTTGTGAGAAGTATGAGAAGGCAGACGGCATAAGACGATGTTGTTCTCAAAGCAGAACTCCAGGATCTCCAGCGTCTCGTGCGTTCCGAACCCGTCACAGATTAGTACTCGTGGTTTACCATTAGCTCGGACCCTAGTTTCGACATCAAAAACGCGCTTTAGCCACTCAAGGCTTATCCTAGAATCGTTGTACCCGTTCTCAGAAACACCGTAGTGCCACCCAGGGGTTGAGTGCGTGGTCCAGTTGCTCCGGTGTGTTGAGGCCGGCCAAATTATCAGAGGCGGTAGCGGCCTACCATCAGCACTAATGCACTCTATAGCGGTAACTATGGTCCGCTTGACACCAGCGCCTCTGTGCCCCCGCACATCATCTCTACCTACAAGAACCTTAACAGAGCCTAGCATGCTTAGCATGACTCCCGTCTCGTCCATGTTGTATACGTTCTCTGGCAGGATAGCCGGATCTTGTAGTACCTTGCCGATGATATCGAACCACCCTGTGATCTTATCATATATGTGCACCTCGTGACGCTTCCAGTCTATAGACCTTACTCTCTTCGATTTGAGTTCGGGGTGGCGCTTCCCAAAGGCTTGAGCCCAGTTCTTACCAGGAGGCTTCTTCGGTCGAGTCGTGGGGGATCGACGTCGGGCAATGCTGAAGGCTAGCGTTGGTATATACTTAATGCGGACGGGTTGTCCGAAACTAGACATTAGTAGCAAGAACGCAACCAGTGCTTTCTCCTCTTCTACGTTGAGGTATTGCTGGGCTTGGGCTTTGTGCTCTATTGAGGGCCGTCCTCGCCAACGATTGTATAGCGTGGTGAGCGCGATACCACTGGCATCAGCTCGGGCAGCCCATGTTCTCTTGTCGTGTAGCGGAGCCTCTGCAAGTGCCTTGCTAGCAGGATCCATTTCGACGATCGTGGTGGTACAGCAGCTATGAACAGCTAGCTAGCGAGGATGCCTCTACTCGCTGGACTGCTAAAAATAGCCCTTGTCCGTGGATGCTTCTAGAAGTACACCGCACTTATGCTAGCGCCCTCCTGTGTAAAGCTGCGAAGCTGGCTCTCTCAAGCAGCGGTCACTAGTCAACGAGGTTAGCATTGCGGCATAACGACACAAAGCAGAAGGATATAATGAAGCCTCAGCTCGTTCTGCAGAGCGTAGTTAATGAGCGCAGCGTCGGTCAGAGCAGATGCGAGTGGGCGATTGCCTGAAGCATACGCCGGAACTACGTTCCAGCCGTTGCTTGTGCGCAAGAGGCTTGCTGTCATAGTCAAGTTGTCGCGGCTGGGCAGGCGCTGCAACTGGCTACCAACCTGTTCTATCGATATAGCGCGACGATGAGTTCTGTGGCATTAATACGTATTCAATCATGCTGCAGCCTTGATGATTCCTTTTGGCATCCTTTCTATCGCTGAGTTGCCATAATATGATACCTTAACATTAATTATCCAATATGTATGCTGCCGTGAATGTCTCTCCCCTGTACACCACGTTCATTATTGCCGAACCTCATGTTCGTTGTGCCTGCGGATTGCTGAAGTGTAGACCGCTCTATAGACGGCGCACTACTCGTAGTGTCTGCCGCGGGGATCCTAGACAACAGCTCTTTAGCATACGCTGCCGCCGTAGCTGCCGCGTAGTTCTGCCAGCCCTTGTTCTTGTGCGAGTCTGCATAGTCGCAGATACCACGAACCACTACACACGGATACTCGTCCATCACTCCTGCTGCTTCCATCTCGAAGCAGATTACATCATGCTCTTTCCGCAATCTTTCGCGCTCAATAGCTGATATTTGCAGCTGATTGCTCGACGCGATATTGCCAAAGTGAACAGACGGCGTGTCGACTAGTCGAGTAGCTCCGGCTCCTCGATCAGATCGCGAGTCGATGTAATCCGCATCGCAACATACTCTGCAGTCGTCGAGCTCAGTGCCCTTATGCTCGTAGGTGTCTTTGAAGAGCCTATCTTGACTAGGACCTGGGTCGGCGTACTGGCGATTTTGTTCGTCGTTAAGCTTAAGACGCATTTGCTTCAGAACCTCTGCGATGTTCGTCTTAGACCAGCCCTCTGCACGAAAGTTATTAACCGCAGCCATGAGGTCGCCCGGAACGCCGTTGGTGTGTCCGCGATAATTCAGTCGCCCTTGACCCTCCCACGCACCCTTGTCGTACTGCAATACCCCGCCATGGCTGCTTCGAGGAGAGCTGACCACCACGTCGCCAAGCACAATCTCTGAGGCTGCACCAGCTGGCCCATAGCGAGGCACGCCGCCAGCGATGCCGACAAGGAGAAAGTACCTGATGTTGGGGAACCCAGCGCGCATCTTCTCAGCAAGGATTGCGGCACCAGTTAGTCCCATCCTTCGCTGCACACCAATAACGACTTTGTGCTTTCCGATCTGGCCGCCTAGGTAGTATGCATTCTGGTACTGGACCTCGTCTTGGGGGTACTCTTCATCCAGCACCAGCCTCGCCGCCTCCTTCTCTAACGGGAGCGGGCAGATCCATCCTATGGTGAACTGGTAATTCTTAGCCATTGCGGCAGGCAGGTCTTTCGTGACAACTACTTGTGATCAAAAGAAATGCACATGAGTGAGTAAGTAGCAGAAGCAGTGAGGAGCAGAGGCAGCGCGCAGATTCGAGCAATAGCGGTTAAAAGCAGCCGAACGAGGATTCAGGCAGCAGCACTCGGCTACGTTTCAGCCTGATTGTTATCGCTCAGCGTCTTCTCAGATTAACTCAATCAAGATTTTATTCTTCACCTTTACCTGCCTGTTTAAGGGCTATTTATGTTGTTTCATACACATGCAGAATCCGCTCTTACGGTGAACTATTTTTACCACGAGGAGCATCAGCTCTGGACCTTGAGAGCCTAAGGTGCTCAGCCCACCTACTCCACCAGAACCACAAAGCAAGCGTTGCAACAGTTAGCGGAACAGACAGCGCCCAGTATATCCAGAACTGACGGGATACAGCAAAGGATGATTGTCCCGCATCTCTATCAGGCTCAAACGAGAAGAAGTTGGTCCCAAAGATCGTCTATCCAACCGGTCGTGTCAGCCGTATATAAACCCGAAAATAGATACTAGTATAAAGGCGCCGTGAAACTCACAGAGATAAAGGTGGCTGGCAAAAAAGTCATTGTCACCACAGCGATCGCCTTCATCGCCGACGCTTCTCTCTTTGCTTCTTCCCCTATCTGTAGCTGCACCTTGCTGTCTCTCTGTGCGGCAGCGTTGAAAGCCTGATATTATAAGTTTAGTTAGATAGCCGCTATATACTACCTGTTATAGACTAGACATACTAGAGTGATCTCGTTTTGGATTCGCGCGTTGTTCGCTTCAGACCGTTGGAGTAAACCTCGTAGGAGGCCGAGCTGGAACTCAAAGAGACTGCCGACTTTATCCCAACGTCCGCGACCATTCTTACTGCAGGCGAGGGTACTGTTAGCACGGAACCGTTCATAATGATGCTGCATGGTGTCGAGGGACTGTATAGCGACGCTGAGAGCCTCGCTGACGTGCACCCCGTGTCTAGCAATCTCGTGCAAAAGGAAATAATCAGTCTCTATCAACCTTTTCTGATGCTGGTGAGCGTCACTGATGTTAGCGACAGGCGCGGTGAACGAAACTTACAGCCTCCCACCTGCTGATGTGGTTTCTGATCGCCCAGACCGAGTCATCATACAGCCGAAGCAGCGCATCTAAGATGAGCAGAAACGCGGCGTACGGACAGGAACGAGAGACGCCCTGTGGCCAGCTCATTGACTGGATATGCGACTGTGACTTCGTAGGCAGATCGAAGCACAACAGCGTAACCGACCCTGACTGCGCCCAGCATGCAAAAAACCCCATCTCGTACCATTCCCATCCGTGCCGCGCACTCTGCGGCCCATGTATCGCCATGTCAGTGTTCCAATCGCTAGGGTTGTTGTGATGGTTAGAGATGTGTGGTGTGAACGTCCTCTTCGGCTGGAGCTTGTCGTGTGTTTGCTTTACCGTGAAGCGGGTCCAATACGCTGGGTCTACATAAGCAACATCCTGATAACTTGTGTCCTAAGCTATTGCTAATAGCGTTCCTGTACATACTGTAGAACTCCACTTCTTCATTCTTGTCTAGCCAGACGTCATACCCGCAAAAGCCGCTTGACTGGAGATACATCCTATCGAAGAAGAAGGAAGGGATCTTTAGCTTGCTTCTAAGGGTTTCCTGGAGTTTTGGTGTAGTGCTCAAGAACGCCTTAGTAGACGCGAAGCTATGTAGTATTAGATCGTAAGCAAAAGCTACTCAATTGGCAACTTACACGATTTGAACGCGCCCAACGTGTACGTCCTACAGCGATGTTAGTCGCTTCTTTGCAAACTCCTTGCTTCACTCGCCTGTAGCAGTTCTTCCCATCTTATTTCTCGAGACTGGCAGGGATAGGATGTGTTGAAGTCTATTCATTCAGGTTGGTTTTGTTTCCATCATTCGCTGTGCAAGATACCTGCCTAACTGGATGACTTTGTCCATGTCTATAGCGTTGCAAATATTCCCTTGGTGTAAGTAGTTACGTGATGAAAGGTTGACGGATACGCTGCGAATGTGATGAGGGGCGGTGGAGAAAATAGACAAGCAACCAAGCGCATGCGTGTGCTTCGCTCCAGCCTTGAACCCCACAAGCGACTACTCGAAGTCGTCAGACTGAAGGCTGCATAGCTGCCAGGCTGAGGCCAAGGAGGTGCTGTGCCGCAGACCATCACTGCAGACTCTATCACGGACACATCACCTATGGTGCATGCTCTTCTATAGAGATGCCATGGCCTCTACAACATCTAACACAGCGTTTAGTAACGCATACAAGAGCGTCCAAGCTAACAACATCAACGGCTCTGTCCACATTAGTACGTCGCGGGACCGCCCGAGG